TGAACCCGGCGACAAACAATAATAAAATAACAAGAAACCTAGCCAAATCATACATAAGATCTCTTAAATGACAATTGTTTGAAGTTACTACGGGTCTTCTACCTTATAATGATTGCCCATGGTCCGAATAAATGGTGCACTGTCAAGAAATCCAGATATTCAACGAAAGCGAACAAAAGTGCGAAAGCGAAAAGCTGATTCTGAGAAAGAAGTTCATCATATTCTTCAAGAATGGAATACCTTTAAATACAACATAGTACGTGCGAAATGTAATTTCTCATCGTTATCTAAATGAGTTAATACCAGTGCTGGTAATAAGAAAGCAAGGACGTGAACAGCTATTGCAGCTGCAGAAAGAACGAGGATAAGAACCTATAATATGGGAAAATTTCAGTCATATAGATTGTATAGCCCCAACCTTTACAATACCCAATCCAGAGCCACCGCCCATAGATGAAAGCTCAGAAACAAGATTACCAGATAACCATAACAAAAGCAGCCATTCCACCGAGTTTGGAATCACTGATGTAGTCTCATACCTACAAACAGTACTTTATCTGTGTTTTTCAGAAAAAGTTACATTTTATGAGTGATATTCAGCACAACAACTGTTAACAGAATAGTGAAATATACATGAGACACTATGTGACAAACAAATTTAATAATGGGTGCACGTCCTGAAAGATATAACCATTACATAATCCGAGTTAAGAACACACAAACCGATTCTACTATCCAAAGGTAACGAGAAGTAAAACCAAGCAGGAGGACACATCAACACAAACAAAGAGAACGCGACCGTTTTACCTAAAACCGTATTTATCAGCTAAGAAGGTTAACTTTCTAACAAACCAAACGACCAGTCAACCCTGGCAGTCCAGATTTCCGTTAGATAACGTTGAACTGATGCATAGGACACAACTTCTTTCTATAACAGAATGGCTATAACAAGAACATTAAATCTATTGCTTACCTGTTCATTTTCAATCAAGACATCTAGAAGAGGACGCCCACGATTATCTTTAGCTTTCAAAAGAAGCGCAGCGTTGTATTCTGAAGCGGTTATGCTTAACAGCTCAACAGCCATGTTTTCGGAAAACACAGATACATTCGATAAATCTTTCGCCCGTTCTTTTTCTTTCTCGGACATATCTCTATAATATTCTTCCTCTGTTACATTATTACTGAAGAACTGACCTGTACAAAGCTGAAAGCTTCACGGCTGTATCTATCGGTGCAGGACTTTGCAAAATAAACTCTTGTAAAGGTTCATTATCGTTTCCTTTCCCGCAAACCTAAAGCAAATACTAGCTTATGCTAACTCCATGAACAAACCATCAAATCGAATACGAACTTCCTATCCTCCATGAGTTGATGTGTGTCATGCTTCTGTTTTAATAAAAATCTCAAACAATCTATATGATTGTGTGCAGCAGCAAAGCACAGAGGAACCTGATGACAACCAAAGTTATGGAAGGATAAGGAAAGAAACATACTTTCCCTTCTTTGGTCTCTGCAAGTGCGTCAGCAGAACTCTTCACGAAGAGCTGAACGACGTTCAAATGCCCAGCCTTTGTAGCAAAGTGCATTCCAGTCCAACCATTCTAAATCAATCTTTTACGAAACGAAAACGTTCCGTACTTACTTGATCCATCACATTTATATTAGATCCTTGGGCAATCAGGAGCGACACCATTTCATAATGTCCGTTCATTGCTGCTAGATGTAAAGGAGTGCGCCCTCTCCAATCCTATTCAAACAATTAGAACAACCAAAGTCTTTTTTTATACCTTAGCATGTTGTTGTTGTGTTGATCGGGAGAGCAGCATACCCACGACGGAAATGTGCCCCTGCTGGGCAGCCAAATGTAGAGGAATTACATTCTAAGAAAATAGAATCAATATAAGTTAGTAACGTTACATAGAGCACAACCGTTTGAAAACAAGACTGAATGAAAGCTCACATCCAATTCTCATGCAAATATAGCAAAAAAACTTCAGTTGTCAACATAATTAGTACTAAACTGTCATAAACTTAT